TTTTGCCTTTTCATACTGTTCATGGGGTTCTCAAGGCAAGAATACTGAAGTGGTTTGCCATTCCCTTCTCCAGTGGACCACATTCTGTCAGACCTCTCCACCATGACCCATCCGTCTTGGGTGGCCCCACATGGCATGGCTTAGTTTCATTGAGTTAGACAAGACTGTGGTCCTGTGATCAGATTGGCTAGTTTTCTGTGATTATGGTTTTAGTCTGTCTGCCCTTTGACGCCCTTTTGCAACACCTATCATCTTATTTGGGTTCCTCTTACCTTGGACGTGGGGTATCTCTTCACAGCTGCTCTAGCAAAGCACGGCCACTGCTCCATACCTTGGACGAGGGGTATCTCCTCACGGCCTCCCCTCCTGACCTTGAACTTGGAGCAGCTCCTCTCGGCCCCCCTGCACCCACGCAGCAGCTGCTCCTTAGCTCTCCTTGAAACATTTGCTTGGGATAAGCAAGTCTCCTTAACACACTGGCTTTTACTAAAAACTTTGAAGGATCATCTCTAGAAGACTGCAAGCATATGCTTTTGGCAAGTATTAAAGCCACTCCGGTGGACAGGTGGAGAGACAGGATAAGGATATGTCATCCCCCATGACCAAGGGCTGATGTCCCGACTTCATTTTGCTCCCCAGGTACAGCTGTACCTGCACAGGTAGTGGATTCACGGGGACGCGCTGTGAGACCCTGATGCCCCCGTGTTCGTCAGAGCCCTGTCACAACAACACCACCTGCGAGGACCGTGCTGACAGCTACACCTGCCACTGCCAGCCTGGTGAGTGACAAAATTCCTTCCACTATTTTTTTTTCTTTTGCGTACAATAGAAACAAATCGCTTATGGCAAATGGAAAGTAACAACTCTTGTTGCTGAAGGTTCAAAACCAACTCTTTCTTCTAGTTATTGTTTGATTTAATCATGTTCTTCAGCGCTCAGACACATCTATTGCTATACTATGCATTATCTGAAGTTGATTACCAACCTGCCCAATCATCAGAATCTTCTAGAAGAAACACAGAGGAAAAAAATAATCAATGGAAGGGTCAATCTCAGCATGGTTTTTGTGGAGTAAAATTCACTGAAAGATGCTTCCTTGTCCTGCAAGATGCTTTCTTTGACACCTAGAACATATTAAAACCTGTGAAACTCTATCAAAATCCTAAGTGTTTGTGTTATAATTCATGGAGTCAATCAATGTGATTGTTGATGTTCTCCATAGAGAGTGTAGAATGATTTTTCAGAAACGGAAGTATTCTGCTCACCTTTTATAATGTAAAAGACAATACAAGTTACACATACATAAACCATAATTTAAAATCACACTTAAAAGATAATTGGACTTGATTATCCAATCAAGTGGAAGTGATAGGGAAGAGTATGTAACACGTGAATCAAGAAGCCACTCATAAATATTGATGTTAATTTTGGCAGAAAACCTGCTTGACATATTTCAACCTAACTCTTACTAGGATTTTATTGCTAGAAATGGAAGAGCATCTCATCTCTCTTCTTTCTTGAGCCATTGGAAAACAACCGATAAGCTTGTGATTATTTAACATCTGAGCTCGCTGACCACCTATCCCCACCTCCGCGCTCATGTTATTATCTAAGGAAAGGGAGGCCGTGTGGTTGGGGGGAGGCGTGGAGACTGGGGCCAGTCTAGTCAGTAGCAGCTCCTGATCAAACATCATCTCATTGCCTGAGGAACATTTAGCATGCTTTGGTAAAAACCAAACAGACTTAAAAGTGTAAAAGGAGGTTTGGAATTCGCCTGTGGCTCAGAGCTCTACGTACCTCGTGTGTCTCCCCGCTTCCAGATCTGAAGAGGACGTGTGTGCTATCCTTTGGTCATTGGTCCTCATGACTAGGAAACAATTTGTAACACTTGAATCAACAGGTCACCTCCAACACTGAATTTTTTCCCAAAACATGTTATTCCACATTCTTGTCATCAGCCAACCCTCAACACTCAATCAACACTCGGAACAGGACCTCAGTCCAGAAGCAGGGGGTGGAGAGGACAGCTTGGGAGCAGGACGAGTCCACCATTTGTTAACCGAGTAAACTAGGGTGAATTACCCCTGAATTCTTACATTTTTCATCCACAAATGAAGGATGAAGAAGCTACTTGTAGTACTGTTGTGAGGGGTAAAGTTATAAAAAGGGAGCCTGGCATATATTGAGTACTCAAAAAAAAAAAAAAGGAATTATTATTACTACATTCCAGGTTCTACACCAGGAGGTGGAAATTGTATATGACAGATGGCTTCTGTGCTCTAAAATAGGGGTCCCTAGCCTCTGGGATCTGATGCCTGGTGATTTGAGGTGAGCTAGTGTAATAATAATAGAAATAAAGTGTGCAATAAATGTAACGTGTTTGAACCATCCTGAAACCAGCTCCCCACCCCTCTCCAGTTCATGGAGAAATTGTCTTCCATGAAACCAGTCCCTGGTGCCAAAAAAGTTTGGTCCTGCTGTTCTAAAGGGTTTGTAATGGAGTCAGGCAGCAAAGGAGAGCTGCCTTAAAAAGACCATTATGAGTCCCATTCATTCAAGCCCCAAAGATTTCACTGCCAACTATATATATGAGGGGTTAGGGGATCAAAAAGACATGGTTCCTCCTTCCAAGAAGCTTAAATTCTAGCAGGAATACAGTGTGGAAAAAATTATGTACAGTACAATTTTGGGTGGCTCAGATGGTAAAGAATCTGCCTGCAATGCGGGAGACCTGGGTTTGATCCCTGGGTCGAGAAGATCTCCTGGAGAAGGAAATGACAACTCACTCCAGTATTCTTGCCTGGAAAATTCCATGGACAAAGGAGCCTAGCAGGCTACAGTCCAGGGTGTTGCAAAGAGTTAGACAAGACTGAGTGACTAACACTTTTACTTTCACAAGAATCTCTAATAAATTCTGTAAAAGGGAATGAGAGAAAATGTTTAGCAGTGGCTTGACTGAGGAGGCAACATTTTAGAAAACTTGAAAGATCGCTAAGCACATCCCAGAAATGTACCCACTAGCTGTGTGACTTTGGCCACGTCTCTGCTCTGAGCCTCACTTTCCTCATTGACAGATAAAGCAGAGATGGTGATGATAATATCCGCCTCATAGTGTCGTAGTGGAGTGAAGTCCAGTAATACAGGAGGCGCTCCCAGCTCAGCCTAGACCACAGCAAGTCAATAAATGTCAGCCCGACACCGGAATTAGGAGACGGGCCATTCTGGACCCTAAGGCCGGCAGGTGGTAGCTCATTCCTTGTTTAAGGATAGAAGAGAGGAAAAAAGAAAAGAGAAAGATGAAAGGGCAGCAGGAGCACAGAGGAAAGAGTCCATCCAACTGTGGGGCCTGGAGGGACTCTTCAAAACACTGGGCTACACAGGGCTGAGGGTAGAGAGGGCTGAGGAGCAGGATGAGACTGAAGCCAGATCACGAGGTCCGCCCTGCAAACCGTGGGGCAGTCTGACCTGTTCATTTAAGAAGAGCTCCCTGGCACTTCGATGGAAGAGTGATGGAGAGAGATAAGGCTAATCGCAGGGAGTCCCGTGAAAGTTCTGCATCAGTTTAAATAAGAGGTAAGTCACGGACCGGAACAAAGATGCCGGTGGTGAGGGTGGATGTGAGTGTATGGATGGCTATGGGAGCCCTTTAGGAGGTGGAAATGACATGGGGATTGGGAAAGGAGCGCCAATTTAGGACAGTTCTGCTTCTGGGTTTTTCTCTGGGGTCACTGGATGGATGTCGATTTTGCCTAGGGAGAAAACTCATAATGTCTTTGTACCCAGTTCTCACAGTTATATATAAAGAGAGGGTTTAATGCCACAAGCTACTCTATATCTAAAAAATCAGAGACCGTTCCTTTGGATCGCGAGACGACTGCCAGTGAGCACGATGGTGAGAATAAGCGCTGTAATTGCCCAGGGTCCTCGTTTCAGGGGTAATTAATCACAAGTGTCAGTCACCTTAAATGCTTATCTTAAAAGTTTTCCTATTACCCAGAAAAGATTGGCTTTTTTTTTCTTAAAACATGTAATTTAAGAACCCTGGGGTCTTGACTCAGCATCATATTGTTTCTTTGTACAGAGTTTTATAGGAAAACTTGTAACTATTGAATGTAGCCTTGACTGAAGGAATCTATTTATACACCTGGTTAAAGGGAACAGCAAACAGAATCCCCACAGGGCCCCATGGTAGGGACGGGACCTGTAATACCATAAATCAGAACTTTCTAACCTTCAGGATAAGAATAAAGACAATGCATGAGCCAGAAAGCAAAAAAGGATTTATGAAAGTACTAAATTACTTCCTAACCTGGGCTGTGCAGAAGTCTTCAAACTTAGAATGAGAAGAACATTGAAAATAGAACTTTAGTAAGTTAACTGTAGCACAACACGTTTATAAAAACTTACGAAAACCATTATTTAGTGAATATGTGTAGATCCTTAAGTATGAAATAAAAACGCTTAAGAAGTAAACATTCAGGCTTACGAGACTGAGGGTTCGAGGGATGGGGAGGGTCATGACGAAGGACGGTGGGACCCTCACCTGGCATGTGCTTTCAGCTTCCTTCTCAACTCCCAGTTTCTTCTTGAGAAGGTTGATAAAGACCCCAGGGGTCAAATGTGACAAAAGCATTATGCTGACGAGCAGCAGAATTTGTGTTGCGGTTATGATTTGACACGGGACCCCATATAGCTTTGTATTAAAATTATAAGATGAGCATTCATATCATGTTCTCATTATTTGCTTACAAAGAGTTCAGCAACTCTCTAGTTTATTTGCTAAGCAGGGATTATCATCTAAATTGTTGATTAGTTCTGTCTGAATCTCATTCAGGAGTTGACTGAAGGCCTCGGACTCAGGTGTTGCTCAGTCCTAGCGTGGTGAATAAAAAAACACGATCTCTGCTTTTATGGAGCTTATAGTCTGTTGAGGGAGACGGCTACATAAATAAGTGAAAACTATGTTGTTTGTTTAGTCACTCAGTCGTGTCTGACCTTTCTGCAACCCTGTGGACTGCAGCCCACCAGGCTCCTCTGTCCATGGGATTTCCAGGCAGGAATACCAGAGTGGGTTGTCATTCCCTTCTCCAGGGGTTCTTCCCGACCCAGGGGTGGAACCCGAGTCTCCTGCATTGCAGGCAGATTCTTTACTGTCCGAGCAATCAAGTGAAAATTATATACATGATGAATTTTAAAAGATACCTCTAAAAATAAGCACATAATACCAATCTTCATAAGACAATGAAAGGAAAGAATTGGGTATGTGAGAGAAAAAGGTTCTTATTTAGATCTGTCCATGAGGAAATGACATTCTGAAAAAGTAACAAAAGATCGAGTCGGAAAACTCAAGAGTTACGCAAGCACAGTCTTGGAGGAGAGTTTTCTAGGGGAGGGAACGGTGTTCTAAAGGCCCTGGGACAGAAAGCATTCTAGGGACAGGAACAGATTTGGGAATGGGGCCAGATAATAAGGGGCTGGTCAGGTCAAGGATTTTGAACTTTATTCTGTGTGAAAAGTGAAGCCATTGAATGGTTTCAAAGTAAATAAAGACCATGATTTGATTTATAACCTTTACCAAATTGGATTGTAAATTTTATTTTAAAAACATTTCTCAGCAGTTAAGTGACATTACAAAGATCTGTAGGTGAAGTCATTTGTATTATAAGTCAGATTGTGTTCCTATAGGAACTTCATACATCTCTTTCATCATCTCACAAAACAGCTGGTGTGATCCTGGACACACTCCTCAGCATTACATTAGCATCTTACTAAATTTACATTTTTGGACTAGCACTATGCATAGTATGTAAATAGTCAAAATTGGTAAGAAGAACAACCTAGGGGAAAAAGATATGAAATGATAAAAAAATTTCAAAAAATATTAAATTCAATAATATCTGGGAAAAATGTAAAACAAACAATGATAAGGTATGGTTTTTTATCTAGCCAACTGGTAAAAATTTTTGCTTGGTGTGGCAAGTGTTGCCAAGGGTCTGGACCATACATACTCTTATCCTGTGCCAGGAGACATGTAACAACCTCTACAGTTTCTCTAAAGGTCGTTACCAGCATCTGTTAAAATTTGAAATGCCCATAACCTATAACCCAGAAATCCCACTCCTAGCATAGACCCCAGTGTTGCACTCAGACATTTCACATGTTGCACTCAGACACAAGTCACATATATGATGTTATTCAATGCAATATTGTAATAGCAAAAATGTATATAAACCCCCTAAGGGAATGGAACTATGTTATGGAATACTTGGCAACAGTTAAAAATTATGAGTGAGCTCTATATTTCTAACATGGATAGATTGTGCAAGGGAGTAAAGAAACCAGGCTGTACTGAAGGACGCATGCAGTCAGTACAATTCCAGTTACATTAACACACACGATAAATAGACACACATATAGTTTCAACAGGTGCATATGTCAGTAAAACCACAGAAAATAGTTCTGGCAGGGACTTTCTTTTTTATTTAATATCCAAATATTTTATAAAATACTAAATCATTCATGTTTTATTGTTTTTATTCTTGTCCCTAGTAAAATGACCCAGCTAAATCCATTCAAATACAAAATAGTTTTTTCTTCTGTCTCACTGTGTGTAAGGAAATCATTTCCCTCTGCTTTGCGGTTTAAGAGAAGAATTTAGGCTTGGCTATGTGCTTTCTGCTGAGTGTGTGTTTGTGTTAAGTCACTTCAGTCCTGTCTGACTCTTTGTAATGTTGTGGACCGTAGGCAGCCAGGCTCCTCTGTCCATGGGATTCTCCAGGCAAGAACACTAGAGTGGGTTGCCATCTCCTCCTCCAGGGGATCTTCCTGACCCAGGGATTGAACCCACGCCTTTTACATTTCCTGTATTGGCAGGCGAGTTCTTTACCACTAGCACCCACCTGCAGTCTGCTGACTTTACATGTATACCCTGGAAAAATATATCATTTTTTTTTCTTGCTTAACATTCAAACAGTTGGAATGTTTGAAGAATTGGAGTTTAGTTAAAACTTGCAGGTTAAGTCAAGATGATCCTGAAGCCCCTTGTTCATCCGTTTTTGTTAAGTGTTGGATGGTACTATGGAAGTGATGCCACTGTTGCTCTTAGGTTTACGGAAGCCCCCTTTATCAGAAACCCTTGCTGGCTCCCCGAGGGGGGCCCAGCACCTGTTACCTGGTGCCACGTGCTGGCCAGCCTCTGGTCAGACGCGTGCTCCGTGGTTGAGGAGCTCTGAGCCCACAGTCTCTCTGGCCGTTTATCCTTCAGGTTTCACGGGCGTCCAGTGTGAAACCTACCTCGACAGATGCGGGAGTGGCCCCTGCCAGGCAGGCGGGCAGTGTGTGGAGCTGTCCTCGGAGACAGGGCGTGAGCGCCTGGCCCAGCTGCAGTCTGCATCCGGCCGCCCTGAAGCCTCCGGTTACATCTGCATCTGTCCACCCGGCCTCACAGGTAAGGCCCAGCGCTGGGGAGACAGCTTGACTTTCTAGCATTTGCCGGCAGATCATGCATCCACCCAGAGAGCAGTGCTGCGTAACCTCTGTGCCCTGGTGCAAAGGGTCCCCCTTGTGGGCCTGGAAAATACCTCATTTCACCTATGGTGCTTCCTCAAATCATGCTGCTCCTGCTGCTGCTTCTAAGTCACTTCAGTCGTGTCCGACTCTGTGCGACCCCATAGACGGCAGGCAGCCCACCAGGCTCCTCTGTCCCTGGGATTCTCCAGGCTAGAACACTGGNGTGAAGTCGCTCAGTCGTGTCCGACTCTTCGCGACCCCATGGACTGCAGCCTACCAGGCTCCTCTGTCCATGGGATTTTCCAGGCAAGAGTACTGGAGTGGGGTGCCATTGCCTTCTCCCCTCAAATCATGAGGAAAATGTTAAAAACAGGGGTAGAAGAATCATAGGAAAGAGGAGATACTTGTATACTTTATCCTGGGGAATTAGAAGCCAACTCAAGCTCTTCACCTTAGAAACAGAAAATTTTAGAGTTTTTGTGTCATTAAATTTTATAATGATGTTACGCTTTATGTTCAAATTTGCTTAAGAAGTTAGCGTATTTATATTTACACTGAGAACGATGATCTAGTCTCAGGTAATCAACTATTCTCTAGCGACAGTTTTTCCCCATATCAAATGTAAAGGGCTCTGTCTTATTCTACAATATTCTTACTCTAAACCCAGTGGAACTTTGCATGAACAGCTGTGTTTGTGTCTGTTCCCATTTCTGAAACTTTTCTGAAGTTTGGCGACAGTCCTGTATTTGATGATGAGCAGCAATTACCTGCAGTTGCATAGATACCACTGAGAAAACTAATCACAACCTAGATCTCTACCTTATTTCTCTCTGCATAGATCCAGTGATATCTGAGGGCAAAATTTCAGCTGCTGTTGGGGGTTTCTGAGAAAAGTAAATAAGGAATAAGAAAAAAGGGGGATGGGTCTATTTACCCTTAGCGTTCGCTTGCTTTTAACGTCTCGGTTTTTCTGTGTAATGACCTTTAATTCTTGGCAGTGCTTGCTATAAAGTTGCCGTGGAGAATGTCCTGATCCACTGTCCCCTCTGTGAAAACACATGGGAGAAAAGTCTCGCCAGCTTCAACATCAGGAGAAGTATAGTTCTTCCTGAATAGCTTCTAGCTTGCATGCTTTTCCCCTTAGTAAAAGGTGTGCAAATAAATCTTGATAAATGAAAAAAAGCATGAAATAAATCTTGCAATATGTCACAGTTCCCAACAACATAAGATGCTGGAAATATTATAGGTAAAAGCGGGTTCTACAAGCATATAGGTTTTTCTGATAATACATTTCTTTATTTACCCCACCCCTGGGATTATTTAAATTTCCTGTTCTGTTTCTTATGTTTTTTTCATGTATTTTTTTCTCGTATTTTCTGAATTGTATGATCGTGGTATAGTGTAAGTAATTTTGTTAACCACTGTAAGTTCCTCTTGAAACAAGGTAAGGGAGTTATAAATGTTTTTCTTGGGTTTAAGGTTATAAAGAGGAGATTCTGTCAAAAGTCAGAGGCCACTGCTACGTTGCCTCATCAGAGGAAAGAACGTGGCTGACCGATGTATCTGCAGATCTGAACAAGAGAGGCAATAACATGCCCCAGGAAAGTGTGTTGGCCCTGATTTCTGAGGAGCATCTGGGAATGACTACATGAGTTAAGAAGTCCTGGGCTGCCCCAAGTATGGTTTCATGAAATTGCTCATTTTCCACTCGTGTGACTTCCAAAGAGGGTTCTCAGAATCAGTCGTCCTTCAGATGGTGATTCAGGGTCACATGCGTGTTTGGTCACGCAGTCCTGTCTGACTCTTTGCAACCCCACAGACTGTAGTCTGCCAGGCTTCTCTGTCCATGAGATTTCCCAGGCAAGAACACTGGAGTGGGTTGCCATTTCCTTCTCCAGGGGATCTTCCCCACCCAGGGATGGAACTCACCTTGCCTGCATTGGCAGGCGGATTCTTTACCACCCAGCCACCTGGGAAGCCCCTTTGTAGGCTGACTCATATCAGGCTTATACATAATTTGTTAAATGTATCTTATACATATTTTATTAGGTTTATACCTAAGTATTTCATTTTGGGAGTGCCACTATAAATGGTACTGTGTTGTTAATTTCAAATTCCATGTGTTCTCTGCTGTTAGGTAGGAAAGTAATTGACTTTTGACTTTTATATATTAACCTTGTGCTCAGATACCATGCTATCATCATTTATTAGTTCTAGGATAGTTTTGGTCAATTCTTGCATATTTTCTATGTGAACAATCATGCTCCTGCCTTTTAAAACTATTAATGTTTACACAGTATGCCTTTTTCCATCCTTATACTTTCAACTCTCTTGTCATTTAATTTGAAGTGAGTTTCTTTTAAATGTCATAATAAAACATATTATTGCATCATGCTTTTTAAAAATTGTTTTGTCAACCTCTGCTCTTTAGTTGATACATTTAGACTCTCCACCTGTAAGTAATTATTGATGTGGTTGGGGTAAACTGTGCCATTTTATTATTTGTTTTCTGTTTGATTTCTTTGTTTCTCTTTTCTTACCTTTCTATGGGATACTTGACCTTTTTTAAGGTTTTCATCTTAATTTAGTTCTAGTATTTTTAGATGTGTCTTTTTCATATATACAATATGGCTGTTCTGAGTATTATAGTGTATACATGTAACTCATAGCCTATTGTTATTAACATTTTAAATTTTGGGTGAAGCAGAGGAAAACTCTTTTTCCATTTAGGTCCCTTTATCTTCCCCACTTTAAAGTATCATTGTCTTGAGGATAAGATGGTATTCTAATTCTTATTTTAATTATTACATATAATTCAGAAAGTTTATGAAAAGGGTGTTCTGTTATGTTTACCTGTCCTCTCCACTGTTCTTTCTTTCTGCCTTTTGCCTCAAGATTCTTATGCTACTAGTTCCTTTCTGTTTAAAGAACTTTCTTTAGCTTTTCTTTAAGAGTTGGTGCGCTAGTGACGATTCTTTTAGTTTTTGTTTATCTGAGAAGATCTTTATTGACCATTTATTCCTGAAGGATAGTTTGTTGAATATAGAATTCATGGTTGACAATTCTTTTCTTTAAGCATTTGAGAAAATATACATTTCTTCCTTCTGCACTCTATGTTTTCAAGTAAGAAATCCACTCTCATTGAAATTGATGGTCCCCTGTAGGTAGCGCATCCTTTCTCTGACTCCTTGCAGAGAAAAATTATGGAGTGATAACACCTTCAGCTCTATCTTTAGTTTTCAGAATTTTATTTGTGAATATGTCTCTGTGTCTATTTTTTTTCCAATTTGAAATTGACTCAACTTTTCCAATCTGTGGATTTATGTCTTTTGTCAAATTTAGGATGTCTTTAGCCAAGTTTTTCTTTTATTGCTCTTTCAGCCCTAGTCTCTTTTTCTTCTCCTGCAACTCTGATAATGTAAGCTTTGTGTCTTTTCCTATTTTTCTACAGATTCCAAAGTTCTGTTAATTTTTCCCTCTTTTTTGTTTAGAATGGGTAAATTTTATTGATCTGTCCTCCATATTCACAGATTTTATTCTCTTTCATCTCCTCTCCACTATTGTGCCCATCCAGAGAATTGATCATTTCTCCTATTTTATTTTCCAGTTTTATAATTTCCATATTTTATAATCTAATTCTTTGCTGATATTGTCTATTTTTCCTTTTACTAAAGGGAATGTGTAATTGCTTATTAAATCATTTTATGATGGTTACTTTAAATCTTTGTCAGACAGTTTCAAGATATGATTCAGCTCAGATTGAGTTGATGACATCAGTTCACTTTCTTTTCTCACTCAAGTTGTGGTTTTCCTGATTCTTGGTATGATGTGTGAAATCTCAGTTGTATCCAGGATATTTTGGACATTATTTAGGAAACTATTAGTCTTATTTGAGTTTTAAAATTTTATCAGGCAGGCAGCTTTTTTGTTTTGACAACAGGTCATAGTCTACTTCTGTGGGCTCTGTAGGCCCAATGACCAGTTAGATTTCAGAGTCGTGGCATTTTGGGCGGCTTGGTACATCTGGTGCCACTTGGGCTCCCACTGATCTCTGCTGATGATATAAATGACACAGTTTACTTCTTGCAAGCTATACACATTTGCAGTTCTATCACTTGTTAGATTAAAATAAATTTCCATCATGATGAAAAATGTAATTGTGACTAATACATTTAATGAGAGACCTCCATTCAAAGAAACCATTATAGTTGTTAAATATAGCTACAAGCTTTTCCAGTTTTAAAATTATAATTAAGGATGTATCTCTTGCTGTGTACTCCATGTACAGTTACGTTCCATATTGAAAATAGTCATGGTTGCATACTTAGTGTAATTTCTAACTTTCTATAATATAAAAGTGAAATATGTCAGAGTAGAAATTAACTGAGGTTCCAAGAAGACAGTGCCCAGAGAGACAGAAATAAGGAGAGCTCCAAGCCATGGAAAAGGGGAAATAGAGAAGACATGGGCCCGACTCAGTCAGGTCCGACTCTTTGCAACCCCATGACCTATAACCTGCCAGGCTCCTCTCTGTCCCTGAGATTCTCCAGACAGGAATACTGGAGTAGGTAGCTCTCCTCTTCTCCAGGAAATCTTCCCGACCCAGGGATTGAACCTGGATCTCCTGCTTTGCAGGCAGATTTTTTACTCTTCTCTAATTATCTCAAAATCATTAAACATATTCTTCGGCAAAATTTCCTCACATACCACCATAGCCATTTTGTGCCTATAGCTGCAATGCTCAACTTGTAATGAGAATGGTGGATAAAGACTTGATTTAAAGTCTGTTTACTTAAACCCACATAGATAATTTTAATGGTAAACTAAATAAATCTATAATTGGGGAAGGCCTGTAATTGAAAAACACTGTTCAGTTCAGTCCAAAACTATAAATTATCTTTATTTTGTATGACCATCCTTGACCGCTACTAGAAAGAATGTTGGCTGCTTCTTTCTGTCCTGTTTTAACTTTTGACTTGGGGGCACTGGACTCAGTTCTAGGGATATAATGATGAAAATACATGGTCTCTTCCCAAAAGAAAGTGAAAGAGCAGGAGGAAAAAGATGCACAAGAATATAAGACATTACAGTAACCACCACAGTGAAGCCGTAAAAAGGTACAGCCAGAGAAATCAGGAAAGAGGACCTGTGTCTGCTCCTTATGTCAGATAGAATTTAGTGGAAGTTCCAAGAATCCAGATGACTTGGTAGTATTTTAATACAAACAACCGCGTTACTTCTAAACGTTAAGAAAGGATGTCGTGACCTCTGTGCTTACCCTTGAAGCATCCTGTTCTAAGCTAAATTGGAAAAAATTGACTCATGTTTTTAATGTGAACGTTTTGTTTCTGTTTATCAAAATGTGGTGATAAAACCCCTAACAAGTTTCCCAACGGCTCATAAGCCAAGTCCAATTTTCAGCTGTAACTCTCACTCGCCACCTCCAATTAGCGTTTCCTCCAACGAAGAGCAGCATCATCGCTGGTCTCTGGAATGCTTCGTTGCTGCCTCCGAGGCGGGGATCTTCTTCTGCTGCCACCCATCTGCTCTGTGCATGGGAAGAGCTGAGCCGTGCAGCAGGGAATCCTGCGAAGTCCTGGCTCCAAACCTCAGGCAGAAGTAGTGGGGTTCTCAACAATGAGCACCCCGATGGGAGCCACCTGGCAGAGTGACTGCACATGGGGCCGCTTGTGACCAGGCTCATCCAACTCCAGCACAGTGTTGCTAAAAATGAAGTGTTCACTTCTCCTTAAAAGTTAAATCCTGTCATTCTACCCAAATCCAGCTAAAATAGATACACAGGGCTGAACATGTAACACGGAGAGCTTCCTGTATTCGTGAAGTGATGAAGCAAGCACATGGGGCCATCGGCAGCTCCTGCCCACGGAGAAATCATCCACAGAGTCCGTTCCATTGTTGTTTCAGGCCTGCTGTTCTTAGAGGTGCACTTTTCCTCTTATTAATAATTCCAAGTTTGAGACTTTAAGTCCTAAATAACTTGAACAGATATTAGATGTACATGTAAAGCTGTAACCCTAGAAGAACAAAGTTTGCTCTCATCCTTATTTACTTAATAAAGTATTTATTAATATTTTCAATAGATTAATCCAGTTTGTTCACCTTTGCTTTTACTGTGAATTTTAACATCTATAAACAAAACCCTTCATAGTACACATATGAGCACATTTCTGCATGTACTACTTTTGATTTAGGTGTCTCAGCTCTAACAGGAAAGGTGTGTCACCACCTTATATATCAATTGATTTTGAAAATCATCTTCATTATGCTTACCACCTACTCTCTATGAAGGTATCTTGTAGGGAAAATTAGCGGTCATGATGTGGAAGGTCAAGTTCAGGCCAGATACAGAGATGGCCGCTTCTGTGAGACCCTCAAGACAGAGCTAGATAATATCAGCTTCTCGGGTTGTGGCTTTATTGCTTTATTGTTGTTGTTGTATAATCATTCAGTTGTGTCCAATTCTTTTGTGACCTCATGGACTTTGTAGCCTGCCAGGCTCCTTGTCCATAGGATTTCCCAAGCGAGAATACTGGAATAGATTGCCATTTTCTTCTCCAGATGACCTTCCCCAACCAGGGATCGGA